CAGGCAGGGAGCTGGGAGGGAGCAAAAACATGGACTGTCAGGCAGGGAGCTGGGAGGGAGCAAAAACATGGACTGTCAGGCAGGGAGCTGGGAGGGAGCAAAAACATGGACTGTCAGGCAGGGAACTGGGAGGGAGCAAAAACATGGACTGTCAGGCAGGCAGCTGGGAGGGAGCAAAAACAAGGACTGACTGTGGGTCCCCAAGGACCAGATTGGTAAACACTGGTATAAGGCATCAGACAGATATGAATTAAAATGACATTGACAGAGACCAGAGAAAACTGCTGAACTGCAATTTAACATTTCATGGAAATGTAAGCATTTTAAAACTAGCAAGCTCCTTTGCTGATCCACGATCAGATTTCCCAGCCCTAATCCTAGAATTATCCTATGTAAATGGGTCCTGAGTCTGCAAGTGCTTAGCGCAAAACTAGTGAACACTCAACCAATCCAAGAAACCAAACCACAGATGCTTAATTTAAAGTTCAATGCACATCCAATCAGATTTGCACAAAAGACACTGATTGGCGTAAATTGCAGAGTGCACTGTGTGCTTGATCATAACGTTAATTTAAACCTCTACTTGATATGGGGTCGCAACTGAGCTGGCAGGGTAAAAAATTGGGTCGTGGTGCAAAAATGGTTGAGAACCACTGCCCTACAGCAACCTCACACTGAAATATCTTCATGTGCCCTTGGGACTGACCTCGTGTGGAACCTCCTGCAGACGATCCAGAGCTCTGATGTGATCCAGTGTGTCTATTGAGGGAGAAAGGCCACCATGCAGGCAGAAGATCTGCCAGGACAGAAGATTAGTGATCAAACTATACTCTAATGATTGGGGTCAAACTTTATGCAAATATTGAAGAAAATGGTTCTGTATGGCAGTTTCTGTCAATTGATAATGGTATAGATTTTTCTCCAAAGGGTTATTAAAAATTAAGACAACTTTTTTTTGGTATTTTGTTGAAAATAGACAAATGGGAGCAGGAGACTCACCTGTCCATCTACCAGGGCAGTCAGGGGGAGATAGTCAAAGAGATCTGTGAAGTATTTCCATACGTTGGCGTTGCCATACTTCCTGAGGCACTCATCATAGAAACCGTAAACCTGCGTGATTTGCCTGCTCTCGTGGTTGCCTCTGAGAATCGTAATGCGCTCAGGGTAACGGACCTGGAGGAGTAAAAGGGAGATGGTGCTGAAGAGGGGGATGGCGTGTGGCTCAGTAAGTTAGGATTCTGTTTCTGTGATCGAAAGCCACTGGTTTAAATCCGAGGACCAGCACACTGAGTAAGGCCCTAACCCCCCCCACCCCCAACCGCACGCTGGCTGACCCTGCGCTGTGACCCCCAAGCTTGTGTGGACCTGCATGCGTATCTGTGTGTCTCATAGAAAGCAAGATGGGGTAGACAAAAAGAATTTTTCCCATGGGGATCAATAAAGTATCATTATTCTAAGCTATATAGAAAGAGCTTACTCTGATAGTTTGAGGTTGCTTTCAGGAGTATGGCAAGTTAAAATAAAGCCAATCATACACAATGGTTTGCAGTGTTTTTTGAGTCTGAGACCTTTATGTATTTCGAACAACTGAGTGCATTCATGCAATTCAGAGCTCAATGATTCATAAAGCTTGTATTTCTAGCCTTGTTGGGCTATAAATCCTTACCTTTAATGCCACGAGAAGAGTCACTGTCTCCACTGAGTAATACCCTCTGTCTACATAGTCTCCCATGAACAAGTAGTTTGTATCAGGAGACTTGCCCCCAATTTTGAAGAGCTCCATAAGATCGTGAAACTGCCCGTGAACATCTCCGCAGACTGTGACGGGACAGCGCACCTCCTGCACATTTGACTCCTTTGTCAAGATTTCTTTAGCCTGTAGTGGAGAACCAAGCAGGGGGTGTCAGTTTACAGCGTAAAATAATGGACCTGTACTTTGAGTCAGCTGCCTTAGAATAATTAATTTGTAAACAATCTGCCCCACCGTAGCACAGTACCTTACTACCTATGTGCCAGTGATTAAAAGTTGAGGAGTCACTGAACTGGCACTGATTACGATACCTTAGTTTCCCCCCGGTGTTTTTGCCTAAAACAAGAAACATACCTAGAAACGAGGCCCCATCTATACACCAGAAATGTGCAGCCTCTTTGGGAGTCAAGCTATATATTTTTTTCCTTGCAATTTTTCTCCATTTTTAATTGCAAAGGATTAACGATATTTCATCACAGATTATACATGTAAATTTTGTTAAAATAATACAGAGCTCAATGAGATTAAAGCAAATTTGGAAATATTTCACATGAAAGCACAAGACAAAAAGAAGCTGCCCAAGACAGCAAGGAAATGCAATAACTTTCATTAAGAAATTAAATCCCAGGCATCCCATCAAATTGCAATACATTTTAAAAGTGCATTACCAAATACAGAGGAAAGCATGATGGATTGAGCTGTTCACAGCTCATGCTTGCAATCTTCCATTATAACATTTCTTGAATGACGAATGAATGTTACATGTACACTGTTTTGCATTACAAAATGACTTTCAGAAAGCTGGTAGATTTTCTGTATTCATTATTTTAACTGGAAGAATATCAGCAATGAACAAACACATACAAAAAACGTGCCCTAGACTTACTGACCAAGCAAGCAGATGTAAGAACTGAGGGACTTCTGTTATATTCTTAAGATAGCTACTGTTTATTGAAACTGCAAATGCTTCATCAAATAGCAATTACACCATGGTTAGCAACATGTAAACAAAACCACTAACATCATAATCACAATCGAGTCGATCTTGCGGAAAAAGTGGAAAAAGTGTCTAAATCGTTACGCGTCGCTCAGATTTAATAATGTGTGACCGATCAGGTAATTTTAATAACTCAGTTTGAATGAAATAGGCCAGCAAACCAGCCTTTCGGGATCAACACCAGGTTGCTGGAATAGGAACCAAAAGTGCGAAAAGCTGTCCCTAGCACTGGCAGCTTATATATTTGTTTTTTTAAAACACCGGGGCTCTTATATTCACCTGGAACGTTACCATTAGAAAAAGCTTAGCTAATATTTAGTCCCAGATTTCCAGACGTTTCCCGACAGACACATAACATCTGACAGCTCAGCCGACAGCGCCAGGCGCAGGAGCCTCACAGCTTATAGCACCGCGCCGGGATTCATCGCCCAAAGCCGGGAAACATCGGATACGCGGAGGCCACAGACCCCGAAGCTGAGCCCGAAACTTCCAACTAGTCGGCAGCCGGGCCGTGCACCACTCACCTTCTCGCACAGCGTCCTCACTTGGTTCTCCGTCAGCTGTTTGCACTCGTTCAGCTGCTCGACCCACTGGTCCAGTTCCTTCGTAAAAGCTTTATTGTCCATTTTAAACGCACTCCGACGACGGCCTTCACCCCCTTTCACGCTATTTCTATCGGTAGCTGCGCTAACTTAACGTTCGCCGCGTAAACCACTAGATAACGATGATTATTTTATTTTCACTTGAAATCGGGTGCAGCTTCGCGCAGCCTCTCGGTCGAAGCGGACCCTTCTATTTCAGGTTTAACCCAGTTTTCATGTGTCCACACGCTTGTGGTCTGCAAAGCTCCCCCCCCGCCGTCGAGTGCGCGTCTTAGGAAGGTGTGTGTGTGATTTTCTATGGCGTCAGGAGCTGGCTACCAGGCTAACTAGCTAGCTTAGCTCCCTCCTCCCTCCGACCTTCGTAGGGAAACTGAGCCGCGTAATGGCCGCTTGCCTTCGTCCGAGCACGTTCCTGCGTCATCACAATGGCATTTTGAACTGCGGAGAGGAAAAAAATTAAAAATGACACTCCAGCAGTCGACGTAGGCTCCTCGCGGTGCTCTCCGGTGCTCTTTGCGCCGCCTAGCGATGTGGAGGATCGACACCATTTTGTGCCGAAAGTAAAGTAGTAAGGAGTAGTCTGGAGGTTGTCGGTGTTTGTTTCGAACTAGCGGCAGTTTATAATTAAGATTACAACACTGAAAGCTTTCTTTCCTATATATATATATATATATATTATATCAAATGACAGCAAACTCAAAATTGTTCAGCAGGAAGTCTAGGCTCTGTATTTAAAGTCTGATATATTACGCCTAATATTTACTTATTTGCTCATAGAATAGTTGCTGGACATCATGGCTGGCCAATACACTGGTACCGTGAGTGCTGTGCAGAGTGGAGGGAGAACCTCTGCGTTCTTCCCAATTTATTCTGGGGTTCGCCAGGGGTGTGTTCTTGCTCCTATTCTGATAAATGCTTGGATGGACTGGGTGTTGGGCAGGCTCATGGGGTCCAGCAGCTGTGGGGCATCCGTTGGTGAAGAAAGATTTACTGATCTTGACTTTGCCGATGATGCTGTGATCTAAGCGGAGTCAGTGGAGGCTCTGATTGGGGCTCTCAAGAGACTGAGCTAGGAGTCTGAGTGTCTAGGATTGCAGGTGTCCTGCACTGTAAAAAATGAAACATTGGATCAACTTAAAGTATTACTTTATTTTTTCAAGTTCGGTTAATATAATTTTTTCAAGTCACTTTAAGTTAAAGTAGTCAATCTAATACATTAGGTTTTTGCACTTAAAACCAATAAAACTGCTCATGCTCAACTAATGAATATAATTTGAAACAACTAAATA